AAAAAAAAAATTGTTAATTTTTTTTTCAATAGTTAACGAGTTAACGACTCGTTGCAAAGAATGCAAAGAATGCGCATCAAATATTGGAACAAAGGAGGAGACGTTAAAAAATACACGCAACCAATAATCATTCCGTTCGTTTTACGAGCAAATAAACATATTTTTCAGTATCCAATTCCCATTCGGATTGAATCTGACGAGGAATCTTACACGATCCTGTCCAATGATTCATAAAATCTCTCTTGTTTTAAACATCTTGTGCAAAGAGCACACGAAACGTTCCCTGTGGTAAATCAGTACAAACTCTTTCAACCGCTTTCGTAATCGTGAGTACCGTTTCACCGCAGTCAGGAGGAGGACATCTTTTCACCGGAAAACTTGTATCTACGTAGCAGGAGCAAGCACCGCGCCGAATTCAATTAGTCCGCCTCCCGCTCGAAAGTGGCGCTCTGTCTATTAACTTCGACCGAGGGCGACCTGAAATTTTAACGAGCCATTGTACCGTGTTTCAATGCATTCCAAGCTTCTCCCTCCCCCTATTTTTTTCGTCCTCTTGGTCAAACAACGACTCGATTCGTTTCAAGGTTGCTGTTGTACATTTACAGTATCAAGATTTCTCGTGAATGGATTAAAAAGAAAAAAAAAAAGAAAAGGAACGAAGAACGAAGAAAATACGAGCGTCAAACAATGTGACGGGTCTGAAATATCCAACAACGTTTCAATTAACACACAATTCGTGCTCGTTTTCTCGAATATTTTTTTTTCGTCGCTCGATTATACCACGTCACAAGGGTATCCACGCGAGGATAATTATTTCCACGCGCCTAGATTCTCGCGCCTCGAAAACGTCGAATTTCGCGAGAAGGAGAAAAACTGTTATCCGTTATCGTCTAGGCTTGAAAGGGGGACGAGACGATGTAAGGTGGAATAACGATTTCTGCGAGTAATTTTAGACGAGACTTTCAACCGCGTAACCAGGCTACGCCATCATCAACAGGCTTCTCTCGCAATCGCGCGCATTAACCTTTGATACGGCGCGGTAATTACGCGAGTATTACTTATTTACAGCGAGGAAAAAGAAAAAAAAGGAAAAAAAGAAATAAGAAGAAAAACGAACGAATTCCGTACGGTGGATGAGCTCCACGTGGAATGTGATAGATACGTGGCGCATAACTCTTGCCAACATTCACGAGGAACGTTTCGTTGACTTTCCGTTTATCACGAATTAAAAACACAGATATGAAATTGATATCTTACTTCTTTTACTAATATTAAGAAAAAAGTAAAAGACGTGTATATATTTAATTTAATTTATTACTAGCGATCTGACTTTATAACAGTCAGGCTGTAAAGTTTTGGAATGTGAGAGAACGAGTCGTAACTGGGAAAAGATCCAGTTTGACTGGATCCCTGAATACGAGAGTCTATTCACTGGAGAAAGATTCGAGTGTGAAACTCTTCGCGGCCAGGTGAGTCTTTTGTTGAATTCTTAGCCCTTCTCTCGATCGTAAACGATAACCGCGAGAAATCTCGCTTCTGGTATCTCGATCCACGAGATACACGAAAAAGTATCTCGAATAGAAATTGCGATTAACTTTAAAAAAAAAAAAAAATAGCTAAAAACTGACGATCATATCCCGATGGAATCTTTGATCAACTTTCAGAAATATGAACGTCACTGCCACGAGATAATTATCGAACACCGCCCGAATTAATAGCACTGGCCAAATCGATAACCCGAAACCATTTATCTCGGCTAGAAAGCTCGAAATATATCAATTTTCATCGGTGAACTGTGCACCGAAGAGAAGGAGAGGCAGCAGTAGCAGTAGGGAGAATTGTAGAAATTACTTGAACCGATCTCGATTAAATTAATAGCAGATAGGAAAATAAATTTGCGAAATTAAACAACCGGTAAATTACTCTTTCGGCCGATAGACCGGCGGCCGCCTCTGCCCGGAGTTAATTAATACCGGAAGTCATTAATGCCGTTACGATACACATACACGTGTAACCACAGAGGGGGAGGGGGAAGAAAAATTATTAATAGCAAGCAAGATATTATAGCGGCATCCGTGTGTCCGTTTCCGGGATGATTTGCACGCGAAGTTGCAAGAATGGCGCGGGATTATTGCGCGCGCGCTTGTGACAGAATTCACTATTTCGGTAGGAGTGAGTCTGACAGAGATTCAGCGGGGGATGAAGCGACAGATTGCGCAAGTCTCCCTTTGAATTTACGATTAATGGCACTGATTTAGGGTGACGTGGAATTACAATCTAAATTGTAAGCGAATGCGATTGTTATTGAGAAGATTAAAATGAAGATTTATTTTTTTTTTTTTTTTTTTAATTTTTAAATCTAAAGAAATTTATTAGGGGATCGTCTGAAAAAAGACGGAGCAGTCATTTCCGTTTATATCCGTGTATATTCTCTTCTTCGTGAACATGTCGAGTGTAGATAAGTTTATTTCATACGATTTGGAAATTCGAAATGATGAGAAACTCTTTGGATTTTCAATTCTGGAAACAATTGAAAAAAAGAAATCGCTCGAAAAGGAATTCGTTTTTAATCGAACTCTAATGAAATCAATAGTAATTTCCTTTGTCAGAATTAATTTTGGAGAGAGAGAAAGAGAAAAAAATTGGAAGCGATTATATATCGAAAGATAAACACGATATTTTTATAGTTAAACAATCGTACTTTCATTTCCTCTTCCTCTCGATAATTGCTCTCATTTCATACGAGATATACGACGACAAGAGTTCATTGCTTTTCAACCGATCCTCCCGATAATTCGATCTTTTAAATATATAAATTTCCAGAAAACTAAATTTTATGCAAATAAGAGAAATAGCTGGTTAAAATTTATTTACCTTTAACCGCGAAAATCGAGGAAACGAGGAGACAAATCATCCATCAATCGATCCGCAACAACATCAATCGGCCATATTCCTCCGCCAATTCCATTCGATTAATTCCACCATAATAACGAAAACCACCGTATAACGACATAATCTCAACGGAAAGAGAGAGAGAGAGAGAGAGAGAGAGAGAGAGAGAGAGAAGCAACGTGTTGCTTTACTCGATGTATCAAGTCGTGGATAATAATGAATGAAATTATAAATGAAACGATTCTCGTCTCATTAAATCCATCGATTAATGGCGTTCCGATAGAGTTAAACCTCGTTAAAACCTCGTTCGTCGCTATAAATCTAAATTCCAAAAAGAAAAAAAAAAACAGCCACGAGTTTTCGTTACACATCCGGAAACCTACATTCATCCGAAGAGGAGTGAGATGTTAAGAGAAGAAAGAGAAGGAGAGAGAGAGAAAAGAATTCGCATTTATCTTGATATATGCGAATAATATTGCATACATCAGCCGTATTCTTTCCTATTTTTATGGAGATGCGCGTTTATCGGGATGTGCAAGGGCGAGGCGAGGGGGAGAGGAGAATATTAAAACACCAACGTCTCTCTTTATCATCGCGCCATGAATTCCATCCCGTTTTTCCTCCGTCCAAAAAGCTCGTATTTAACTCTCCTTAACCGTGCCACTATCGTATATACCATCGACTTAAGATAGGAATATTCGAAAGCAAAAGGAAATTCCCTTCCTTCCTTCCCTTCTTTCTTATCTCTCTTGCACTCTTTACGACGTTTTTTTTCTCTACGCGAGAACTATCTACACCTCCCTATTTATTCGATCATTCGAGAGAGATTTTATGGAACGTGTATATATATTGGCGAATGATTGAATATCGTTTATGATTTTTACGCTCTCTCTCTCTCTCTTATATTTTTCAAGCCATCGACAAGGATAATAATGTTATGTTTCTAGACAAAAGAGATACGTTCCGTTTACCGATAACTTTGTATTTACATTTCTTTTCCATTCGAAATGTTCGAATACGCGATCTAACGTGCTACATGGATACGTAAACAAAGGTCTCTCTTATCTGGGAACATGCGTAGAAAGGTGACTCACACGCGAAATCACGCAGAAGCGCTTACTACGTCTTGGCGTTCGAACGTGTCCACAGCGCGGAAACCTCTTGGAGAAGGAACGAGGAGGATCGCGGTTAGATCGGACAGAGGACATTGGCGGCGCGTCTGGACGATGGCGGAGGATCGATCGGCGCCTCGAATCGAATTCCTGTTCGTTCGTTCATTCAGGATCACGGTCATCAATGGAGGCGCGGATTCTTGGAATCCGTGTCAAATTCCTGGCAGCCGGCCGAAATATATCCGGGATCGTCATTCAAGATCATCGACGACGACAGGGACACGTCATCTCGACGATCCGATCAACGGGGGAATTCGCCTCGTGGACGAGCACCGCCAAAATAATTCGACGCACGATCGGCAGCCTCGAGCATTCTCTCCACGACGACCGATCGAACCGTCGACGAAATTCCCCTGGACTTGGTTTGCTAATCCAGGGAGGGAAGAAGAGAGAGAGAGAGAGAGAGAGGATAGAAGGGTGGAACGTCCCGCTCGAAATTAGGTCGGGGGTCGGTGTACTACTACAGGGGTTGGATCCTCAGAGAAGGAGGCGAGGAGTCCAAGTGGCTCTTTTTTTCCTCTTTTTCACCCTCTCTATTTCCCCTCTTCGTTCTCGTTCTTAGAGGTAATAGACTCGTGGGTATTCCGTGTACGGCGAGAATCAGCCAGGAGGTCCTGGCTATTTGACGTGGCTTATCTCTTTCTCAAGTTTTCGAAAGTAAATGGTGGAAACATCTCGCGGGGTTGAGTATCTCGTAATGACCTAGTGCTTCGTGTGTATGTGTGTGTGCGAATTATTGTTACGTAACAAGGAGAGAGAGGAAGGGGTAGGTTGGTTCGGAAGCTTGAAAAATAGGTGAAGTGTACGCGTTACGCGGGTAAATGGATGGGTTGTAGTTTGATTAATCGGGGGATCGGCTCGTGTAGTATGTGAGAGCGTTTCGTGTTTTAGACTTATTAGGGAATTTCGTGCAAACGACGGGTGAAAATAGCGGTTGGCGAACCAGCCGAGGAGGAATAATATTTTTTAAAAAAACCGATAAGGGGGGGTACATTACCAAGAACGAATAAATCTTTATCGATCTCACGACAAAGATAAAGCGTTCGGTTGTAAGCGTTTCAAAATCGAAGAAATTTCAAATTTTACAACGGCTATGGTTAGAGGTCGTTGGATGGCAATGGGGAAATAATGGGTAAGCAACGAAGAGAGACGATAAATCTAAAAGCTTGTGGATTACATGAGGAATATCAAGATGGCCAACAAAGGATGTTCACGTTACACGATAGACGTTAACGGATATTCATTTGTCGATGCTCGAATGAAGGAGCATAGGATAAGCGCGACAGGATGCTCGGATATTCAGATAACGGGATATCCGGATGCTCGCAACCCTGCCCGGTGCCTCTGTCCCTCTTGAACGCTGCCAAGTCTACTACCTCTACGAGCGTCGTTCAACCATTCACTAGTCAGATAGGATGTTCATTGTACGCGATAATTCCTTGGAGAATGAAAAACCTTCTTTGTTCCGGAACACCGTTTCTCGCTCCCCGTTTCGATTATTTCAAGACGTCACTCCTGAAACGTCACCTCTCGTTTAAACGTATTAAATTTAAACATATTAATCAATTCGAGATCGATATCTGATTACGAAATAACGAATTTCCAACCACAAAATGAAATTAACAATCACTCCGCTCAACCCCATAATTTTCAATTCCAAAATAATTCCAAACCCGATCCCCTTAAAAGATCCCAAAATTTACCCTCCTACAAGTCTCGAATTCTAAACGTTGGCGAACCAAATTCTCCCGAAAACAACGCCCCTCATCCCTCGCAACAAGAAAATTTACATTCGTCCCATTTCACGTGGTTATGAACAGCGCCCGTCCGGCAACCCCTTTCCCCCTCCTCCCTCCGACCAATCCCGCGGCCCAATGGCAATCCAATCAAACCAAAATCCCGTGTGACGCACGCCACCCAATCCGACACCCTCGACACAACTCTGATCGCGACGCAGACGCGTCCCTTTTTCCTCCCTTCACGGCCTTTCTTTCAACTCTCTTCCGTTCGACGCTGATCCTCGCGGATTTGCAATCCTCCTCTTCCCTCCCTTCTCCATCCATCGATAAATCTCCATCCACGAAGAGGTTACACGCTTACGCTCTATCGTACCCCAACCCTCTCGCTTTCGAGGCAACGACACACAGGCCGGACAACCCCCTTTCTCTAGCGCACCTACCTACCCTCCTCCTCCTCCTCCTCTCTCTCCACGCACTCACTCACACACACACACGCGCGCGTGCAATCCTCCTCCCCGCGTTTCGCTCTCTTGGGTCGGTCGTGTTCGCATGTCAAGCCCAACCGCTCTGACACGCTTTACGCTCGAGAGCCTCCTTTGTCGCGGCTCGTCGCCGTATAACTCGCGAGTGCGCGCGCGCTTTTGCTTCCACGTTGAAACACGCTTATCGCGCCTAGATACCACGGCTCGTTCACGCTTCTGACACCGTGTCACCGGGTCACTTGGAGACTTTCCAGGGAGGGGGAGAAAGGTTGAGAGAATTTTTCAACTCGAGGTTCAAATCGAAAGTGGGATGGAGGAAAATCGTGTGATGGAAGGTGTAATGGGTTTCGAATTGTTACTGTA